CAATGCCCATGAAGGATTTAATGAAGATTTGTTGTTGTTGTTTTTGTTGATTCTTATCTTTCTTTACCCTTCTCATTGTCACGGTGCTTGGTATGATATATCCTAAAAGGAGCAAAAATGTTCCCATTCATTGAAWAAAAGAATCAAGAATCAGGACTTTACAGACTTAACATGAAAATCCAGAAGAGGAAAGAACAGTCAGTGGTACTGAATTGTTGTGTTTGATCTGGTCTTTATAGAAATGCCAAGTGAATTCCCAGTTCACCATCACATCATTGCCAGGGCTTCAAAGCAGATTTTCTGATCCCGGAGTTTCTCAGGAATGCTGGTGACATCTCACTTCTGCAGATCCACTGAGTTAACTTGTGTAGAGAAATCATGTTTTATAGCAGTTGTGAGTATTCTTACTGAGAACAAAATGAGCAAAATGATATTTTTTGAAAACTGAATATAGTCAAAGACAGTTCAGGTTTTTTGACTGTTCTGTACTGCTGACATACATATATATAATTATATATACCAAATTTACATTAATTATATATATATATATATATATATATATATGTATATGTATATATATGTGTATATATATATGAAAAATACTATTATATACAGCAAATTTATTGTAAATACATAGGTTGCAATATAACAACAGGATTGCTATTAATTTTACCCTACTATCAAGGAAACAGCCGTGAATTAAGCACTGGAAATTACACACAGCACATACCAGTTTGTATTTGTGGTGGCCAATTTAATAAAAACGAAAGAAGGAAAACGAAAGCTCTGTATTTTTTGTACATCTACAGTGTCCTGCCTGCTTCTTGTGTTCTCTCAGAACCAAACAGKTATTGACTGTCTTTGGGTCTAAATGAATATACACATTTTCTAAACTGATGTGAGTCAAAATCTTTCACTTCACTTAGAGTAATAAATGTTTCAGGARCTGTGATTTTCATGCACTATCGACTCAGTTTCTTGATTTTTCTAGCATGTGTCAAAACACTCTTTAACTGCACATATCACTGATCTCTTCTGGGAAACTGAAACCAGGCTGYCTGTGCTGAACACAGGAAATTGCARATGTCCTCGAGGCAAAAAAATGGGATCAGRAGGCCATGGAGTTCAAGCTTGCACTGCCATTTGAATCAGGCTCTGCCTTCAGTTGTTGAGCACTGACTTGGCAGATTAAAAGCTCTACCAGTCCATGGTCAATGGAGAAACATTAAAACCTGTGGATCCTTTCAAGAAAATGTGACAGCATTAAAGCATCTCTGCATTTAGCAGAGAAACCTTTTGTTATTGACAATCCAGGCCTCTTTGAATTTCCCAAATGCGAAATTGCTTGTTAGCAGAGATGACAGGCAGCTCCTGTTCTCTCCTCTGACATTGAAGCTCATGTTTCCTTTTCTTCGCTTTCTTATTTCAGTTTCCGTGTTCCCCAATTCTTTTTTTTTTTAATCTGTTGATGAAGTGCTACAAAACAGCATGAAGATGGTTATGAGAAGTCACATCAGAAAATTGTGGCAACASTGAAAGCTTAAGGAAAGCTGCAGGGCCAGGTGAAGCTCATGGCTCTGGTGCTCTCTCTGTCCACACTGGAGCCTCCTAAGCCAGACTTAGTCAGATAGAGCTGAGTCAATTCAGTCAGTTTAGTCAAAGACATCTGATTCCATGTGCCAGTCTGCAAGCAGAGCAGTAAAGACTGAGCATTTAACCTTCGGCTTCCTTTACAATCAATCAAATTCTGGYTTTGATACACCTCTAGCAAAGAAGATACTGATAAAAGTAAAGATCAATCATACTCTTTTGTCTTTTCACCATAGATTGGGTCTAACCCTGCTTGTCAAATATCTCTGAGGGCCTCGCCATGGTGGGTATCTTGGTGTTTTAGAAGAGAATCACAGAATGGTTTGGGTTGGAAGGGATCTTAAATACTGTTTAGTTCCAACCCCCTGCCGTGGTCAGGGACACCTCCCACTATCCCAGGCTGCTCCAATCCCTGTCCAGTTTGGCCTTGGACACTTCCAGGGATCCAGGAACAGCYTGGAATAACCTRTTCTAATGTCTCAGTAACTTCTATCATTCAATGGATTTTGGAGAAATATATGAATCTATGTGTGGCATTTAACATCCACAATTTTAGCTTGAAGTATTGTGTAAATGCTTCAAGTTAACAATAAATGTGCAAAGAAACATTTCCTTTTGTTTAGTCACATCCCGCTTGCACAGACAATGCATTATTATTATTATTTATTATTATTATTATTAATAATAATAATAGTAATATTACTAAATAACAGCTTTTCCAATCTCTACCTGGTGAGCTGTGCAGAAACTGTCATATTTGTGTATTGAGACAACCCTTGGACAGTCCTTTCAGACCTGGGCAACTGTGGGAAGTGAACATGCACTAGCACCAGAACTCTGTTTTTTCTTGCCATTTCCCTTCTATCTTTTTAAAATATATTCTAAGAACTTGAATGTCAGCCAGTGCAATTTTCTCTATCTTTGGGGAGGCTTAGGAGATGATGTAGCAAAAGCCCTTATGTTCTTGGGAGATCCTAGAGATCCGTGACAATTTATCTTTTCCAGGCACTTGGGAGCCCTTAAAACAGAGCCTTGTTTGTTTTGAAGACAAACAAATCTAATATGGTTGTGCCTGGTGTGTCTCCTGGGGGAAAATAGCTGGAATTTATTACTGGGGTCTTGGAGATGGAACTGTGCAGCGTTATGAGTTCCTACAGATGGTGAGGGAAGCTTTTCAGGAGYGTCCMTCAGGAAACCCTCCCTATGTTTGKAATAGGGGTGGTGGCTTTTAACATTTATGAAGTCAGAAGGGTGCAGATGGTTCCAGGCGTCCTCACGTACTAAAACACAACACAAGCATCATAAAATTAGGATTATTATAGACTCACTGAATAGTGGGGGTTAGAAAAGACCTTAAAGATAAATCTCATTCCACCCCCTGCCATGGGACACCTTCCACTGTCCCAGGCTGGTCCAAGCCCCCTCCARCCTGGCCTTGGGCACTGCCAGGGATCCAGGGGCAGCCACAGCTTCTCTGGGWAAACTGTGCCAGGGCCTCCCCATCCTCACAGGGAAGAATTTCTTCCTAATTCTTGTTCTAAATCTCCTCTCATTTATTTAAAACCCATTCTTCCTTGTCCTGATGGTGCCTTTGGATTTTTAGTTTCTATATTTTCAAGTATCTCTATTCTTGTACTTCTCTAGTGTACAGCATTGAGCTCCTGTTCTCCCATCTTTAGATAAAACAATTCTTCTGTGTGTGTGAAATCAAAGGATATCTCACTGCTCAGGGCCCCAAAATATGTAAACAACAGTGAATTGGGGGGAGCAAGCTTGGGGTGGTTGACATCATCACCTGAAAGTGTCATTGGGGGAATTGGGGCCCAATATGTTAATAAGACAGAACTTATAAAAGGTGATGATCTCATGAGTTGAGATCCATTTTGGGTTTAGCCTCAGGAGGAGGCTTTGCCCTCAATGTACCCATAGATCTGGATTAAATTTGTCTGCTTTTATTCTCCTAACTTTGTCTGGCCTCTTTTTCAGGTGAGCCTTGTTTTAGGCATCAGTGACACTATCTGCCTGTCCTAAAGTTTCTCTCCCTCTTTTTTATGAGCTCCTTTAGCTGCTGAAAGGATTTCACGWGGTTTGGGGTTTACTCTCAGGGCATGTTGAGTGTATGGTGGCCAAACTGACCCAAAGTGTTCACTCCGTTCTGTCGACTGGGATGTGGGGGAAGAAGAGTTGAACTGTGCAGATGGGGCTCCAAAACAACCCAGAGTAGACTGAATTTGGGGACTTCTTTCCCTGTTTGCCTCCTGCTCAGCAGATAAAGGGAAGCAGGTCCCTTGCCAGGTACACTCCACTTCCTCTGTAGTTTTCCTTTGTCAAGAGTGAAGGAAATGGGATGGGAAATAGGAAATAACAAAACTGCTCCAGTGAACCACTATGAGCTTTCCCACCTTCAGCCACTGATTTTCRTGGTGTTTTCCACTGAGTGTGACTTCAACCTCATCCCTATAAAATGGTCTAATGAAACCTGAGGTTTTATTCTCCTTGAATTGATATTCCCTGGCCACTGTCTGCTGTAGGAATGAAATCCTGTATTGATTTCTGGAAATGGGACACATCCTTATTTTGTTGCTGCCTTGGGATTGCCTGGATTGTGTTGGCTGCAATGTTCCTCTCATAAATTAATTTTTTTGTTTCCTTTCTTTTTTTCCATTACTTTTTTTTTTTTTTTTTTTTTTTTTTTTTGGTAGTTGGCTATACTAGAGAGTGAAAGATAGAAAAATAGAAAAAGACAAAGAAAATATTTGGATCATGTCAGCCTGGTTTAATTGGGATTGCATTCTTTTTGGCAAAAGAATTTGCCGAGAATTCGCTGGGAATAAATAAAAAAGGTAACACTAAGGAAGGAACAGGGTGAAAGATGAAGAGAAAGATTTTTTTAATTCGGTTTAGATTCCAGAGAGAGGTTAATGAATTGTGCAAAGACTCATAAGAAACTGGTGGAAGATCAAACCAAGCCTAAATTGATTCCTGATTCGTCTTTCAATTATTTCTCTATTTAGAGACACCATTGTTTCAGCTTTATATGAGGAAGGAATTAAATAAAAAAGAACAAACATGTTAGAAATTACATTTTGACATGGGAGAACAATATAAAATGCCCAAATAATTTATGACAATTTAATAATTTATGACAATTTTAATTACTTATTCTGGCCTTAGATTTGCTAGAAGAAGAAAAAAGAAGAGGAAAAATAAAGAGAAAAAAAAAAAAGAAGTAAAAAAGGAAAGAAAAACAAGTTTGTTACAGGTTTTTTTCAATTTTTAATGATACTTTTCTTTTTTTTTTCTTGTAATAGGACCTTAAAACTTGCTGATACTGATCACCTCACTAGCTATTTTAATTTTGTAACTGGTTTGGTTTTTTTTTTTCCCTCCCATTTTTTCCCATCTTTCAGGTTGCAGCAACCCATTCCAACTGCATCATTAAAAAGGAGCAGGAGACTTGTCTGGAGAAAATCCGGAGGGCAACGGCCCTGAACCCTCTCAATGACTCTTCTCCAGGTGAGTTTCAGATCGTGAACATTGAGCTGACAATTTAAACTCCTTTTAACCATTTCCTGTGATGCCCCGAGGGGTTTTCAACACTGTCAAAGCAAACACTTTATGGTGAGAGAAACATCACTGCTGCCGAATGAGCCCGGAGAAACTTTTAAAGGATAAAAATTTAATCAATGGGATGTACCCGAATGATTTCTGGTTGTTACCGGCGGTCAGACATTTGTTTCTTTGCTTTAGGTAATGGGGTTACAATAAAACAACAAAACAAAACAAAAAAACAAAACAAAAAAAAAACAAACCGGAAATTAGAAGATGTCTGGATGACTTTTGCCTGGATGACAACAGCTTTGGGGACAGGATGTGACACAAAGTGCCATCTGAGCAKCTCGTTTTCCCTCATCAGTGCAGTAATAATTTGTGCATCTCTCACATGATCTGAGGACCTTTACAGGGATTAACGCTGGGGTGTCTGTAATCTTGATGAAGGACACTTGTGCTGTTGCTGAGATAAGAAACTGAGGCATCGAGCACAGAAATTTATAGTTTAATATCCTGTCTCCTTTCCTCCTGACTGCAGCAGGAGCTGCCTGTGGCCAGCACCAAGGAGAGAAGGGCAAAGAATGACAAAGAAACTAATTGGAAATCAGGGTCCATTTACTGAGTCCTGTCCAAACTGCTTCTGCTGTGACTGGAATTGATAAAACTGCAGAGAAAAGCCGATAAAACACATTGTGTGTGATAAAAGAGGGGAAGATTTGTCTCCCTTTTTTCTTGCAGCACGTTTTAGGCCAGAAGTAAAGCAGGGCAGAAGGCAATGATCTGTGTTACCAGTGTCCTCTAAAGCAACCCATTTCTGCATTTTAGCTGCTAGGAATGTTTCCACCAGAAAGGAGAATTTCCATCAGGGTCCTGCCATTCATCTCATGCATAAATTCATTTCTGTTTTGCTGCCCAGCTTTGGGCGGATGAACTGCATGGTTTGGAAGTGAGGAAAGCTCTTTGTACTCCAGGCAGTTCATTTCACCCCAGGGATGTGTTTCTGAGACCATCTYCGTGCTTTACAGAACAGCTTCCCAATTTTTCCCTGGTTCAAAAGTGGCATGAGCAAGGAAGAAAGGGGCAAAACCTGTTTCTTGTCCCCTACCCCCAGAATGATGCCAGGAGCCGATCATGAGCCCTGCTTGTGYTTATGCAATGGCTGCTGTTTGGGTTCAGGAATTCACAGAACCTCCCAGCTAAGAGACCATTTTCCCAGGCAGTTTGTTCTTTATCCCCCAAATCCAGAATAACCCTGACAGCTGCGGGGCTCAGGCTGAACTCCTCCCCCTGGAAAGGAACAGCTCGGACACCGAGAAAGTCCAGAGCCATTGGGAAGGTTTTTGCATCTTAATGGGATTAAATTGCATCASCCACTCTGGCGGGAAGGGACAGGATCCTTTCAGGCTCTCTCTCAGAGCAGAACCCAGCTGCTCCCTGTTCTGCTCCCCCGAATTTKCAGGCTGAATCTCTGTGGAGACTTTCCCAGGCTCATCGAGCATCTTTTAGTTGTTCACCACATCCTGTGGCAACGAGTTCCAYAGTTTATGTGGCTTCGAGTAGAGAAACCATATCCCCTCCAAGAGATTAATCTTCTAGTGAAGAATTCTGGTGTTATTTCTTGTTTGAAAGCCCTTTCATTCCATGGATCCTGCTTGTTGTATTGCCTGATTTTTTTTTTATTGTTCAGCATTAACACTTATTAATGATGGCAGGTAGGGGAGAAATGTTACCAGATTGTTTCTTTCAAAGAAAAAGATAGGAAATAGCTCCCCTGCTTGTCAGAAACAGCTGGAAAAAGGAAGAAATCCCTCCTGACTGGTGAATAAACTTCTCTTTATTCAAGAGGAGAAGGACACAATTGCCTCTTTCCCTCTTTGACTATTGCTGCATGAAAATTCACATAGAACAATTCAATGTGTTCTTTTGGAACATGCATTTCTTCTCAATGGGGCTGCAGACTGTAAGTGGGATTGTGATTTTTAAGAAGTCTGTAGGGGATTGTGAATATGGTCCAGTTGCTGTGACTTAAACCCAAAAAATTCCCCTTCTGTGGCAGGTGACACAAAGAGGGTCACCTACAGAACTGGGATCTGGGACATGAACAGTCCCTGTGTTCTGTATTTCTGCAGTGTCTAGAACARTAATATATAATATATAAAATCATATATATCATATAGCATTACAATATATAATATGTAATATTCAATAGATAGTCCATAATCTATAATCTATCAAATATCATATATATAATTTCATTTAATGTAATATTTAATATTTAATATTTAATATATACTATATTCTATAATACTTAACATATTATATAGTATGTAATATACCATATGTAATATGTAATATTATATAAAATATTTTATATTAATATATCTATAATCTATAATCTATCATATATCATATATCATGTATCATATATCATATATCATATATCATATATCATATATCATATATCATATATCATATATCATATATAGTATATATATATATAATATGTAATATGTAATATAATTAGGTATATAATCTATAATATTCAAGTTCATGAATCCTACCCCAAGGTGCCCACAAGGTGCAAAAATTAATAATGGGAATAGTAGGATCTCTGCTGTGGTTTGGAGCCCTTGTTTTCTGCACTGACTCTTCTCCTCCCCAAAAACACTGCACGGGAAGCCCCATCCTTGGGTAGCAAAATAGGAAGAACGTCTTATGGGTTCTTACATTTTGCACGAATTCAGCTCTCCTGCCTTTGCTTTACCCCCTAGCTGTGTTCAGTGAACACAAGCATCGACCAAATGGTGTTTCTGATGTTTTCCCCTTCCCCTCCCACTCTCCCTCTCATGCCCAGATGTTCTGCTCATTATTTCTTTATTCTTCTCAGCGCTGTTCTCTCTCCTTCTGCTGCTATGCCATGCCCTTAATGCTGCAGAGACAATGATTGCCTTGAGATTTTCTGTTWGGTTTCTTTTTTTCCCATTAGTTTTATGATGGATACTTCCTCTTAAATGCCTTAAATTCTTTAGGAAACTTKATGTGAGAAGAAATAGGGGGCATGTGCTGACCCTGTGTGTCCGTTCCTGTTCACTCATCACTTACGGCCTGAATGAAARAGAGAATTTGAAGGAAATGAAATCTCAGCAGGACCCAGAATGTGACTCCTTTGCTCTGGAGAAGGAATTAAACYGATAAAGGGAAGTAATGAAAGCCAAAGGCAGACAAGAATGGAAGGAGAGCTGTGATTACTTCATACTCAACTTCCCCAGGCAGTGGAGCCAGGCTATTTCTTACATCAGTGTTTCCAATMTCCTTGTTTGAGTTTTTATCCCTGTCCCACTGTGGAGCTGCCCCAGTTTGTGCTGGACCCTCTTCTAGCTCTCCCCAGCCCTGCAGGTGTTTTCTGCCAGCTCAGAATTGATAAATCTCACTGCTGATCCACACTCACCCCTTTTTATTTTTATTCCTCCCATCCAGWGTCTTCTGACCTGTTCCCAAYCCTGGGGCTAGGAAAGAATGACACMGGAGTTACTCAGATATTAATGACCGTTTCCTGGGTTATGTGTATTTAGCAGGGGATTTATCTGGTTAAATGTTGTACCTGCAAATGCATCTGCACTACAAATCAGCAAATCACCTTCCTCAGTTTGCAGCTCTGGATATCCACCAAGCAGAACCTGAGACGTGATTTATTTAATCCTCAGCACAGATTAGATGATGTCTATGTTTTCTCACTGGACATACATATGAATTAAACTTCTCAATAACCACACTTAGGTGTCTGCATTTGAATGGACAAATCCCAGCTTTGGCTTCTGGCTCTGTTAAATTGAGTAGATCATGCTGGAGGTCTGGATTACCCAAAAAAACCTAGATGGTGGTGGAAAGAGCCCTGCTGATGAAATGGAGAACACTTCCAGCTGTGGACCAGAGTGAAAGACATTTCCCAGCCTGCTGCCAGTCATGCTTTCCACTGTCAGAACCAGATATTCCAGACTTTGCTCCTTGAGTGAGGTTCTCTCTCAAATGGTGAGATTTCCTTGATTTATGTGCAGATTTGCGTCTACAATTAGATGTTCAAAGTGCTTAAAATGCACAGATCTGGAAGGAGCCAAGGTGTGACAAAAGTGAACTCAGCCCGAGAGTTTGAATATAAAAAAGAAGTGATGAAGCCTCATTGGTGTTTACATGGTTCAAATAAATCCTTTAKCTTGCTGCCCTTGTTTTCCAGTCCCACTCCTCCTGTCCTTCCTCTGAAAAATGCTGAGAGGAAGCAACATTCCCAGGCRTGTCAAGGAGCTGAAAAGAAATTTCAGGAAATTTCAAGGAAATTTGAAGTGATGTGATTCCTTGTAGGAATCCCATTATTAATCCTTGTTCTAAGTTACCCTGTAAATCAACAGGAAAGAAACTGGTGAGACCACCACAGAGGTAGGAGATGGTAATTAGAAGGCAATGTGGCAGTGCAAGGAGAGATTTTGAATTATGTTTCCATGACATGAAGATGATGGAGCAGKTTTTTTCAGTTTCACATTTTTTACTGAGTGTGTCTCATCAGCCTCTTGTTCTCTCYGTGCCTTTGAATTATCTGCTGTTATTTCCCCTGGCACCACTGGGAAGACATTACTTCACTGTGTGTCCCTTATTGAGGCAGCTGTGCCCAAGAACAATGGGACAAGGACTGAATCCAAACTAGTGGATTCCTAGAGTTTGGAGGGTATAGATAAAAAAATGCATCTGTACCTCAAAGTTTCCTCTGTGGCTCCTTTTTGAGCTTTTTTTCCTCTATGGCTCCTTTTTTTGATCTCTCTGGATACATCTCTCCTTGGTCAAAGATGCCTTTTTTTTTTTGCACTGATGGATTTATCCGTGTGACACTGCATTGAGTGTCTTCTCCCAACCTCACATTAGAGGTGGGAGGAACAAAAATGGATTTCAAGGGAGAAGCTGGGGACATGTGATGG